GCTTATCCCGGAGTATTTCCTCAGATCTCCGTAGAAATCTTAGAAAAATAGATGCAAACATTTTTTGCTTTCAGTTCGTATATTGTTCTTTTAGATTCTCTTCGCATGGAATTGGTTCACGATCTCGTTCGAATACCTTTAAAAACATGATTGTCGGTGCTGCGGCTGGATATCTTACCTACCAAGCAGGAAGAGCTATTATCCGATCAATGGCTGGACCAATGATGTGAGTTAATCCAAAATCTATCTACCCCCATGTGCTCCTTATGACTTTTGCTTACTTGCGTCATTGCAAAAAACATAATTTGTTGAATTTTGCCCTCTCAGGTGGAACAATCGTCCGTACTACTGGGGATCGAATTATTATCGTCCACAAAGGATGCAAGAACACATGTGCAGGATGCCTATTGATCCAAGTGATCCACAATTTGGCAACATCTATGAACCGGTGGGTGTAAAACTTTTGATTTGAATTACAATGAAATTATCTCGAATTAATCGTATTTCTATAACGAGCAGAGGTTACTAGTAGATGTTAGCGGAAGTCATTTGAAAGGGTCCAAAGCCTTTCTTTGGAAGAGTAATCTAATCAGCTTCACGTTTACAGAGATGTATCATAAAAATAAATACGTTATATAGGAAGTGTAAAGGATCCAGATTGTCCATGTTCCGCTGGTCTTTTTCAGAGTCTGGCGTTCTCATTGTGTATCTCCCATACATATTTTCTTGTGATGTGTACAAACCAGAGTTACCACTCCCTTAAATTGAGTTCATATTTAGGGATAGAATATGTTTGATCAATATTTCTGCAATCATCTTGCATCTCGCATTTTCTGCGGTTCACCTCATAAATGTCGTAATAAAATGCCCTTACTCTGCTGTTCAGATTAGGTGACTCATATGAATGTGCTTGATTATGGCCCCTTTTTTCCAGGATGGCGTTACTCGTCCTCGTGAAATCGTATGGGGTTGTGGATACTACGAGTACTGCTGCGGTTATGAGTGCTGTAGAGGTGGCGGTGCTGGTGCCATCGGTTACGGTGCCTCTGTGGGGTGGGCGTTCGCTCTTGTCTATATCGCTCGAGCTTACCTCGTGTGATAATCGCCGAAACTCTAATGCGAGTAACGGTTTGCGGTGCCAACGAAACGTGTATATTGATGTATTTACTACATAGCGTTATAGGCTAATTTTCTAGCCGAAGTTGATCAAATTCCATCCACTGCTTCTCACGATTGATTAACCTGTGCCCAGAAAGATAATCTTGGCTAATGTTCACCTCTTGTTTTGATCTTTGACTATAGTACGATCTTTCTTATCTCAGCATTCAAGGGTTGAT